GAAGAAATCCCTCCACAGTGAAGAAATCCCTGGTTGTCAACAGAAATAGTTTCCCATTGGAAGATTTCCCCTCTACTACTGTTCTGGTGGCAACTCAAAATTTGGGATTTTTTCTTTCACTTTCAGTGATAAGGGTACACATGAAAAATAGAGGGGGATCATCTCCCTAATGGGGTGAACCAAGACACTTTTTGGGCAAATCTTCTCCATCAAAGTTGCAAAGTTTGAACCTTTTGGCACCTTTGTCAGAAAAGACACTAAAAGGGGAATTCAATGAAGCCTTAATGTGTTCATTAAACCTGCGGGTACTTTTCTTTAAAACAACCTGTGCCTAATTCAGGCAAGCATTTGCACCAGTTTCAGTAACATTACCAACACAAGTTTATGTAGTTCTAACTACCGCCACTATAAGAACCAGTCACTGTGGCAGTAACGGATTCTTAAATTATTACCGCCAGTTCACAGATTAGTGATTAAGACCAGGTCTGAGGTACACGAGTACTCAGAGTGGAGCATGCCTGTGCTGGGAAGCTGTCATGAATGTAACAGTTTCCCACACAAATCTCTATTCCTGGCCCCATTCAGCTGCCAGGCAGGAGATGTCTGTCTGACAATGAAATGTAAACAAAGAGGTCAGAGATACTGGTGATGTCATTGTAATATTGTCAATGCCAATATTTGTGAAATTACTTGTCACTGGGTGGGCAGAGCCTGATGGGGAACTGATAGACTAGTTCCTCATCTGGTCTACCTTGTGCATGACATTGGGCTGATTCAAAAGCCGCTATTGGACTGAATAGCAGCTATAGATTTGCCCTCCGCCATGCGCTGTTAATCAACAGTCAGATGGACCTAACAAGGAACTCGTCTCTCAATACCCCATCCCTAGCACAAAACTCCTCAAGCCATGCACCAGTGTGATAGGTACAGTGGCTAGGGATGGTTCTGTATGTTCACTCTGACCTCAGTGTTAGGCACTGACAGATTCACTTACCTATCTGTGACAAGTACCACAAGCACTGCTACTTTCAGTGTGGCAGCACAAAAGATTTCTAAAGGGTGTCTACAACATCCTTTATGAAATCCCCCCTAAGGCCTCATTCATACTCTATGTTTAGCCCAGGTGTGCCATTCAGCCTTGCTGCCGGCAGCCTGTCTACTCTATGAGAATTCGATAGCTGCTGTGGCTGGTGGTATGTACATTTAGGGAAGTATGTGCCCAGGGATGAATGCTTGGAACACAAACCTTCTCCATTCCTGGGTGCACACTGCCCTAAAAGAAATACCGCGGAGTGCACTGTCCAGTCCTGTCTAGCCTTCCCTTTGGGGGAGCATTGGGACTGCTCCCTGGTGGAGATGGGAGAGAACATTTGCCCTTTCTTTGGATGAAGAATGTTATATGATGCCTATTTGAACTGTGTGAACATTGGAACATTGGATCTCCCCTTTTGGAGTTGAGTTAACTTGGAAGACAGGAAGTGGTGATTATGAGGAAACACCTTTGTCTGATGTTGGATTTTGTAACTTTGATTATACAAGTAAAGAATTCACCTCCCTTTAAAAAGAAGTGGTAATCCCAACTGAAGATTTGTCTATTTGCTTGGGAAAGTTTGTTTGATGGACCAACTTGTGTGTGAAGGAAATAGTATTTTTTTTTTTTTTTTTTCAACTTTAGTGATATAACCTACCAGTAGATAGTGATATAACTTACCAGATGTATGCCTCATGTCGTGCAGGCAGCTGGATCCTAGAGAAGTCTTCAGTGCAGGAATGTCCTGTCCTCTTCCTGTGGCTGAACTTCCTGTGCACATGGGGTTAATAGCTTCAGGCTCCAGGCTGAGCTGCTGTGAAAAATGTTCCCTTCACCTATCTCCTCCATTGAGAAAAATCCTTTGATTGCGTTCAATGCCTATACCTGAATCTGTGAATAGGGGAGATCTGATGAGTCGCAGTGTTCTCTTCTCCATTAACAGATCATGTTAGAGACTGTAAAAGAAACAACTCTTTTTACTGGAGGAACCTTTTTACAGCAGCTTTTTACAGCAGCTTAGTCAGGAGCCTGATCACCCCATCTTCGAGCCAGAAGTCCAGTAACAGGAAGAGGACAGGGCAAGAAGCTAAGATGATGTTTCACTAATGACAAATATAGTATAATACATGGGAAAGACAACATTATTTGCTTTGTCTGCCCAGCTTCTGAAATGTATCAGTATCATGATGACCATACCTAGAAACCTGCCCGCTTTCACTCGAAGGGGCCAGCTTCTTATTTAGGTTACCAGCTTTCCGGGTGATGGATTCAGTTAGCGGCTGTTTTCCTCCCGCTTACACTGACAAAGTAACATTGTTCTCCCACTGACACCAACAAACTGACATTTTATTCCCCACCCACTGACACAGCAGAAACTTTCATTCTAGTGACATCACCCATGCAGGGGTATTTTTTTCTTCCAATGACACCTAAAAGGCAAGGGGGACTTTTCCTCAAACTGATGCCGAGACATTCCTATCTTCGCCACTGTTAGGCCCCTTTGACACAAGGGGTCTGATCATGTCCGCCCACAAGTTTTTCAGTGTCCCTTTACACCCACCTACCCTCAATCTGGTTTGCTAAAAAAAAAAATTGAAGGGGATCTGCCCCCTCCCCCATCTAGGCAGGTTGAAAATGGAGGGCAGTCAGGGGTAAACAGACAGCGCAGTCCATTTTCACCTACTGGTCCATAGAGCGCAGCAGGCTCAGTCCATGTCCGTCTGCATAAACTGAGCTAACAAGGACCTCAATTCCTCCTACGGACAAATCCCCTGCTGATCATAACGGAGTCCGCCCTGTGTGAAAGGGGCCCGAGCTCTATTTTTTACTGCATGACAGTATGTGCATTGCTTTTAAACTTTTTTATTCATAGTAGTGTCCCACAACTAATTGGTGCATGCTGTAACCATTACATACTTAGTTGGTAACTGTTTTTTTTTTGAGACAACTGTCATAAACTAACTGTCTATAATGTGGTCTACTGATAGACTCCGCATTAACCCCATCTGCGTTAAATCCAACCTGTACACTCCCAGTCACCCTGTGGGATAATCTCTGGAATCTAAATGCGGTTGGTATTAGAGAACTTAGATTGAATTACTTTGAGTGAATTTACTGATTTACAGCAGCTGTAATTTTACTACATAGCATTGGCAGCTCGCTCATTGCATTTGTGTCCTCTGTAATTGTTGCTAAAGAAATATTCGTTTGCTCAGTGAGATCACTGAATGTGTCTCAGGAGCTAAGTGAATTTCATTATAATAGAAAGATATGTTGACAAGTCACAATGCTGTAACATTCCCCAAACACACCCAGTAGTCAGTACAGACCAGTCAACCAGCTTCCAGGATCTACGTGGCAATAAAGTTTTACAATAATGGCAGTTTTGCTTATCCTTTACATACGCATGTATGTTACCTCCTTCTTTCCTTCTCAGTCGTCTCTCTTTTTGGTTTGATGTGTAGACCTATACAAGAAAATGAACAATTTAACTAACACAAGTGTTTTACTACTCTTAACCTTTTATTCAACCTTTATTTTATTATGTTTTTACTTTGTAAAATCAGCATATAAGAAAAGCAATGGCATGCAACACATGCACGAGGCTAGGTTTTCCTGCCTGAGCTAAGGGCAGATGGATTCCAGGAAATAAATTCCACCATAATCATGTGCTCTTGCTCTAGATGGCTACAGCTAGAAATGCTAGGGAGATGTTTTACAAAGTGATTTCTCAACAAAATAAAGCATGAACACGTACAGTAGATGGATAGGTGAGTTTGCTTTGAGTATCAAAAAGGAATCAAATTGTGTTTTTGGTTTGTGGTGCTCAGATACAGTTAAGTTCCACTTTATTATGAAATGCACAATTATATCAATAATATTTAAAAGATCAGACTTAAAAATACAGTAATTAAAATGCCTCTATCACATAAATTAGATCCCTAATCAACATTTTGGATATCACTCTCCTGGGACTATCCTGTCAACATGCAATATTCAATGTTTACGTATACATTGTCTATGACAAATGATATAGTAGACTAGGGAACCTTATTAATCTATGTATTTCTCAGATGTACTCCGCTTCCTCAGGAGGGTGATTCAGGCTAATTCTGTGTTAAATATTTTGCGCTCAGGGCCATTGGTTCTAGTTGAACACAAACTGGACACAGTTAATCATCCAGTTGGATGTGGCCATAGCACTGAGTGATGCTGCATCCAGATGTTCAGTTTAGCTGCCTGAGTGCTGAGTCTTCATGAAACTAGAACAAATGCCTGTGTGTTTATTGTCTCATACTTATGGTAAACCAGGGCGAATTCTTCTGTGTAATAAAGCATGGAAAATCCTGAACGGTCTGTTCAGGCCGGTGAATCACAAACCCCCTTTTTTGAATGCAGGGGTATGCCCATTGCCTACATATATTGTGCTAAAAGATGTCCATCTTTTTAATCCCAGAAAGTTGGGATATTTGTTATAATTGTATAGTATTAACGTAGGAATATATTATACACGCACAGGGGTTTATTTACTAAAGCTGGTGAGTGCAAAATCTGCATAAAAACCAATCAGCTGCCAGTTTTTTTTTTTGCCAAAGCTTAACTGAACAAGGTGAAGTTAGAAGCTGATTGGCTCCCATGCACAGCTGCACCAGATTCTGAGTGCTTCAGTTGTAGTAAATCTCCCCCCACAGTATATAAGTTCATTATAGTTCAGAATCACCAAAAAAATTTTTTTTTCATCGCATCAAGTTCAAGGGCATGTTTACTTGCTGCCTAATATATCCCACCGACTTTCATATGCCATTGCAATGAGATAATCAATGTTATTGACTTTACCTGTCAGCAATCGTAAAGTTATGGTTGATTAGTATTACATTTCTGTTCTTGGGTTTAAGGATTATACCTGTTCCAGTAGTTGATTGGACAAAATTATATTCTTTGCTCATAATGGGTCTTTTTTTCTGCTTAGCTGCATTACAGGCTCTAAAGAAAAAAAAAAGATTAGAGAAGCAGTTAATGCAGATTGATGGCACCCTCTCCACCATTGAGTTCCAGAGAGAAGCACTAGAAAACTCCCACACCAACACCGAGGTGCTGAAAAACATGGGCTATGCCGCCAAGGCCATGAAATCAGTGCACCAAAACATGTAAGTAGCTCTAGAATGGTATGTCTATGGCAGCAGAAAATATTTATTTCCACCAAATGATTGTAACAAGTGTTTTGCTTGATCTAAGATATATTGGGTGACGCAGCTGTCACTATGTACACTGGATTACCACACTAAAGGCTGGACACCAGAATACAGTGTGGGAAAGTTGTGTTCTGTATGTGTTTCTTGCGCCGTATTCAAATGCATTGCCCTTAACCTGCATGCAGGTGCTAATGTAATGTTAACGCCACCCCAAATGCAGATTGCATATGCAGTGCGTTTGCGGGCACCAGACTGCATGGTACCTCAGTGCCATGCAATGTGGTGCGACATGTTTTTTTTTTTTCAATCTGAATTTATTGAGTTTTTAATAAGGTAAATGATAACAAGAAATACAGATACAGTAAGAGAAAGCAAACAAAATAAAACATCTTATACCAATCCGCATATATCAATAATCATAGATATACAGTAGTTATGGCACACATACGATACATTGAGTCAGATTGGCAAAATAAGAGAGAAACCACATATAAAAAACAAAACCATAGCCCAGGGCTCCATGGCCCGGGAGGCAGGGGCTGTATAGAGCGGTACACATTTCAGAGTATATTTCAATAGCAGTATAAGAATAGGGGGGAATGGTGATCTGATAAAAGATATGTTGAGAAGGAGGGGAAGAAATAAAAAAAAAAGACGAGTACAGAGCAGTAGAGAAGAATGAGGGGGATCAGGAATGGCATACCTGCTCCACCATGGCTGCACCAAAGAGGGGTCAGCACCACCGGCAACCCTGGAGTGGAATTTGGAAGAGTAGCGGAACATGGTCTAAGGGGTCAAGATAGAAGAGAACAGACCCATTTTCTCCAATTCCCTTGCCAACAGGCGTTCAAGGTCATGAATAGAGTTCAGTTCAGTAACCCATTCACCTAAGGAGGGTACAGAAGTGGACTGCCAGTGGCGGGGGATAACTGCCCGGGCAGCGGCCACCTGTGTCTCAAGATATCCCGTTTCACTGATTTAATAGATTCAGGGAGTAGGGAAAGAAGAGCGAGCTCTGGGGATGGAAGAACAGACGTCGTCATCAGTTTACAATACAGGTCAAAAATAGATTGCCAGGGACAAGACCACCAGATGTGTAGCAGGGTACCTTGCGAGCGTTGACAACACCAGCAAGTGTCAGGGATGGTGTGACGATTTTTAAAAGCAGTGCATGCACTACTTTTTCTGTGTTCTAGGTAATTTGCAGGCGATTCACATGAATGGGCTGCAAAATCGCACTGGATGGGAATCGCTCGGGAACTCGGCACATGTTCTTGTGCAATCCCAGTGTGGACTGGCCCCTAGAAGAATTCAACAAAATGATACCAAAACAGAACATACAGCGTTAGGAGTTCTGCCTGTGTTTACCATTACTTACTAATGAAGACTGAAGAGATAAGTAATCTCATGAGTAATATGCATAGGCTTACACTGCAGTCAGGGTATGTGTGGCTTTAAGGCCCTGTTCACATTTGACATTTTGAAATCTCAGGCAGAATCACTGTGATTCTGCCTGAGATCTCAATTCGCACTGCAATATTGTTAAAACGCACCATGTGTGTTCAGGTGCCATTCATTTTCAGTGGCTCTCAAATGCAATGTGGTTCTGATGAGATTGTCGCACGATAAAATGCATTGTTCAAAAAGGAGCAGGAGCTTCTTTTGGGCTATCAGCTTCACACAATGAGGCTTGCCATGATTGCAGCGCAATATTTTGAGAATGAATGGCACCTGAACACGCGTGTTACATTTTGCCGCTATTGCAGTGCAATTTGAGAACCCAGGCAGAATCGCAGTGATTCTGCCTGAGATCCTAAAATGCCAGATGTGAACGGAGCCTGAAGCTGTACTCTTACCAAGAGCCAGCCCACTGTTTTCATCAAGGCTGAGGGCTTTTGGGAGAAGTACTGAGTTCTGTGATTATTTAAGGAAATAAAGGCAATTGGATTTACAGCTTGGCACTGACCTCCAGATCTCAAGTGTCCCTATTGGCCATGGCTGCTAATTACTTTAATAGACCAATAAGGAAAAGGGAGGCAGAAGCGGTAGGGGTACACTCAACTTTTACAGGAAATATCAGTTTTTATTACGTACCTAATTTTAGACCCAGTTATGTCATCATTGGTTCTTTTTGATTCTCTATGCAATGCAGTCAGTTCGTGGCTGGTGGGATGACCGGTAGGGTGATGTACACAGCTTCCTGAAAACATCACAGTACCCTGCTTCTGTACTCCTCTCAACATCCCCAGCCTAATGCAAGCAGTGGGCTAGCTTTAGGGAGGGATTATGAAAATAAATAAATAAAAATAAAATAAAAAATGGCCACCTCCCAAGTCTATAACTGGCTTATGAAGCAAGGACACATAAACAGGCATCACATAGTGAATAAAGGGGAGAGAACAATGTTCTTGGACAACTTGCCAGCCAGTTTGCTAACAACCGAATTAACCTGTCTAACAGTATGCGTTTATAACAGGGGTTTAGTTAGCACACATTTGCAAATACATACGTAAGCCACAGAGCCACGTCACGGCACCCTGATAATCTGTGCTCCTAACTCTACAATTTCTGTGAGTCCCCATAGTAGAGGCACATGCATTTAATGGATAGATCAAGGGCAGGTTGACCTGAGGGAGCCCACCCCTCTTGAAGGCAAAGGAGTGCACAGGACCCTAGCATGTAGCACAATGGCAGCCAGGATCCTAGTGCGCCCACGTACCAAAACTCCAACATGCAAATAAAAAATGGCCACCTGCCCAAGTCTATAACTGGCTTATGAAGCAATGACACATAAACAGGCATCACATAGTGAATAGAGGGATTATGAAAATATCAAAATGCTTTGGTGGGTGGATGTCAGTCTGGAAGAGTTAGCGTTCCTATGTAGGCTGCATTTGCATGCAGACTTACCTAGGCAATGCCCACATATTAAACTGAACCTTAATAATTGAAAAAAAAAATATAATGAATGGATAGGGTAGATCAAGTTCCAGTGAGGCTGGAAAGGAAGAGCTAGATGATACTGAACAGCCAGGAAATTAAGTTGGTTCTATTTCAATTGTTGCAACTTCTAATTCACACCGTGAGAAGCTCACAGTGTGCAGTGAGATCAGAATAAGCATTTCTGGTACAGATAAAGAGCCTTTTAGCTGCTATATGTCTCAAAGACAAAATATAGGGCAGCCAATTCCTACTAGGTTAACAAAAATAAATCTGAGCAGTCTCTGTACTCTGTGGGTTTTGAAAAAAACCAATCATACTGACCTCGGTGGATGCATCATTGGTCTGGTGCTTCATCGGTCCCCTGCCGCCTCTAGAACTGAGAACTAAGCGATCACATGACTGCTGATTGCTCAGTTCTTGGTCTTCACTGCTCTGCCCCTCCAGCACTCACTGGAGCGACGGGCTGTGGAGGGTGTGGGAGCAGCTGGCTCAAGCTCTCAGCAGTGTGCTGAGAGGCTGAGCCAGCTGCCAGTCAAGCATCTGGGTGGATCCCGACAGCATTATCAGGATTCCTGCGGAGCCTGGACCAGCTCTGTGACATCAATCAACAGCGAACTTTGTTGGCTGAGTCTGGGTCACAGGACTAAGAACTAAGTGTACTGCTGTAAATTACGAGAAAAGTATAACCAAAAGAGCTATGGCCATACTTCTCCTTTAAAGTCCTTTTAACAGTTCATAAGATGTTATAAGAAGTAGGCTATGTGTAACTGAAGAACATTAGTTTCAACAGAAAGTGTTAATCTTTTACTTTTCTGCTTGGTTGTAAAACAGTAACTTATATTGATAAAAACCTGATTGCACAAGCCTTGTGCTGAAGTCATGTGCACGTGCCTTTCAGTGAGGGTGACTAATGATCCTTTATCTGGGGCTATACATATACAAGCCATGACATGACTAGGAGCCAATGTGTAGCTCAGCAAATACCCACAGGAGGTTATCAGAACCAGATCTTACTGTTATAGGCAAAGCCAAATTTCAGTAACGTGGCCTTTTGGTTACTGTGTTGTAACAGACGTGACCACAGATCTTTACGACTGTACACTTCTCTCCATCACCTTTTTTAGAAGTTTACAGAGCAATGTGCAGACTTATGTATAAGGACCCTCTGGGACATAGGAGTCTGATTTCCCCAGATGTAGGTCAGATGGGTGATGGAACCTTTTCCCTTGGTACAGTAGTTAAACTGGTCTTGCGCATGGGTTCCTTAGTGTCTTTTTTGGTGCTAAAAGACACTAAGCCTGTGAGAGATGCAAACATCCTTAGAGCCCATTTAGGTAACTTTACCGTCTCGTGCAGCAGATTCAGGTAGTTGTTAATACTGCAGCTCCATTTTTACAAAATAGAGCTATTATTGCACCAAATTTAAAAATAATTACCTCCAGTTTATAGATAGTGAAACTGGAGGTAATTAGGACCAAATGTAAGTTGGTGTACAGAGACAGGCAGAATACCTGTCTTTGTATGCAGTGAAGAAGAGCAGCTTATTTGCTACTGCTATCACTTCCTCTCCTGTCATTGGTTGTTAAGGAATCTGTTGAATTTATAGCGGACCATCTCCTAGTGACCAGTGGACAGAGTCTGATGAGGAAGCTGAGACAATAGTTCCCTATCAGGTCCACCTTCTTCTTATGATTAATAGCAGGCAGTGGGTGGATTCTATGGCCCAAAACAGGCTGTTTATTGGCTGAGGATCCACCCAGTGCCAGCTATCAGTTAAAAAAGGAGCAGACCTGATGGCAGTCTCTGACTAGTTTCTGTGAATCCCCATCAGGCTCTGCCCACCCAGATACAAAACTACCCACCGCGCACTGTCTGCATGACAGCTGTGGCAGGAGAAGGAAGCTCCGCTGTACTGAAGCCAGAGTGTTCATATGTACATTCTGGTCTTGGTGTACCTTCACACTGGTGTGTACCCCAGTTACATGTACCCCTTTACAACACTCTTTATGAAT